AGAAGAAGAAGAAGAAGAAGAAGAAGAAGAAGAAGAAGAAGAAGAAGAAGAATAGAACTACAGAGCTGGAAGGGACCTATAGATCATCAAATCCAGCCCCTCTCAAGGAGGCACAGTGAAGGATCGAACTTCCAACTTCTGGCTCCGCAGCCAGAGACCTAAACCACTGAGCTATCCAGCAGTTTAGACAGGTACCTCAGCACTTGGATCAAGAAAAATCCCCTTCTTGAAATCAAAGTCTCTCAGATCCCGTGAGCACCCCAGCAACCTTGTCAGTTCCACTCTGCTGCGGATCTTCTCTCCTCTGGGGCTACATGAAGAGATGAAACAATTAGTTTTTTCAGGAAATCACATTGAAATTAAGAATTCTTCCCTGGGAAGGTGCCAAGGAAACTCTCTCATATCACAAATGAGATGGGGGGTCATGGACCTTCTTTTTTAAGGTCAGGGAAATGAAAGAAACATATAAAACTATGCAGTGTGTTAAAAAATGTACAGAGGCGTTTTTTAATCCTTTTCTTATAAGCACCTGGATTCAAACACTGAAGACAGTCCAAGAAAGGAGCTACATTTTTGTACAGAACACATGGGATTTACTTCATTACTTCAGAAGATGCCAACCAATGTGCACCATTTTAAACAGAGGAATTGAACAAATTCACTGAGTTATCCACCATTTACCAATGGCTGTTTGTCATGATAGATATTTATAACCTCCAGGCTCAGAGGTGGAGCAGCTCCCTACACCTGCTCTACGGCAACGCAAGCAAGACAGTGCCCTTACATCTCGGAGGCCAACTTTCGTCAGAGGCACCTGGCTGAACACTATGTGAATAAAATGCTGGAATAAGGAGCCCCTCTGGTTTGATCCAAAAGAATTATGCTTACATTCTAAAAGTTGCCGCCACAAGGGAGCTTTTTGTCTTCTGAGAAAGCTTCCCACCTGTTATTACAAGACTTATTTATTTATTTATTTATTTATTTATTTATTTATTTATTCAATTTATATCCCGCCTATCTAGTCACTGCCATGACTGTCAAGAAGTAGACTAAAGGTTGCTCATTAAATATATTATTAATATATTAATTGCTCATTTTATGCATTATTATTGTTATTATTTGTTTTAATCTATATAAAGCATTCAGAATAGTGAATGCACTAATGAGGAAAGAAAGAAAGAAAGAAAGAAAGGAAGGAAGGAAGGAAGGAAGGAAGGAAGGAAGGAAGGAAGGAAGGAAGGAAGGAAGGTAGGTAGGTAGGTTGGTTTACTGGTGGCAGATATAAGCTAAAAACTGTATTTTAGCTAAGTAGGAGTATTTTGGATGAAGGAGGGGGGTATCTAATACTCTGAAAAGCAAAACAATAAAGAGGAACGCCACACCTTTTAAACTAACTGTTATAGCACAAGCTTTCATGGACACACAGCCCATTTCCCAAAATGAAAAGAGTGAAGTGTTGAGGATTTAAACAGACACACAGTACCTTTGGTTGGAACTGGTATAGTAGCTTGATATCAGATTTTGAATAAGCAATTATGAGCAGTGACATTTATATCAACAAAAATATTCTGCCGGTCAATGCCCATTTTATAATAAACCTACAGCAAAGACCATAGTTAATGCTCGTATAACAGTGATCATCGTAGACATTATGTGTTGCATATTATGTGTTGCATTGACTCATGTGATGCAGCATGTAACAAAGAATAAGCAGAATATAACTATATGACATCAAATCAATTCTGATTTAAAATAATCCTTTCCAGGCTTTTTTAGGTATAAAGTATTCAGGTTTACCATTCCCTCCTCCTGGGCAATGCTCTGAGACTGTGAAGCTTGCCCAAGGCCACACAGGCTGCCTCTACTCCCAGGAAACACAATAAGGAAGTAAACTTCTGACCTCTGGCTCTGCAAAAATTAACTCACTGACCTTTCTGGCCAGAATGAAACAAATCATGCCTATTATGATTTTCAATTTGAATCTCAATTTGCCTCTAAAAGTTGTAACATTATTGTTTCACCAGTCTAAATACACACACACAAAAATTGGCCAGACAAATACAACTCCCCCTGTGGCAACCACTATCTTGCAAAGTCATAAGCAAAGTTATCGTCCTGTCCCTCCCAAGGAATATAAACATAAAGTCACCTGCTGCAAGATTCAATTCGGTTTCCAAATCTATCTTTCCCACACTCCCAGAGCCCTTAAAGAGATAACATCTGGAAGTTTACAAATGCTTAAAATGTATATTGGGAAAGACCGGTGCTTTTACTTTGTTTTCCCTTTCTACTGAAACCAAGCTTTCCTGCCAGAAACATCTAATCTGGGAACGTTACAAGATGATTCTAAATCTCCCGATACACATGTTTCCCACGCATGGGAAGGCAGTTGTTCGGCCAAATGTTTCACCCACAAAAGAAGAGTATTGGTAATGCTGATAATAATACTTCAGTGGATCGGCATTTTTACTATCAGCCAGTTTCTAAGTCCACTCAAATTCCTTTTGATCAGAAGAACAGCCAGGAATATAATCACCAAATGCAAAGGGCAATAAGAGATTGTGCATCATGTTTACCAACATGTCCCTAATTATGCTGCACTTTGGGTGTTTTAAATTGTAGGGTGCAATCTGGGCTCAAAAACATGCTGTAAGAATAATAAATAGTACAGTAACCCATCAGGCTTCAGTGACAAGCAAAATATATGACATTTATGCCACATTTTCCCTTATAATTATATTCTCTTAGTAATTCCTACAACAACCCAATAGAGTATACTTGCATTATGTCCATACTACTGATTATTTGTAGCAGACAGCGGGCAGTAGTTAGTGTATTCTAGGCTGAGGAGAAATTAGGTCTAAAGGTAAGTGGTAAACAATTAATTACTAAATGTATTAAATTCAAGTGGTACACCAAGCAATTTAAAAAGACAAAACACTTCGAAAGAACAGGCATGCAAAAAGGAGGAAAATGAGACAAACAAGAACAATAATAAGCAATAGTAGTCAGCATTGTATATTTCTAAGAGTGGAACAAGGAAATATTTGGATAGCAGAAGCAACAATTTTGTTTTCTTGTGTTAAGTGGGAAAGGAAAAGGTAAGCAGAAAAGGAAAATTAAAAAGTGTTCATCAAAAGTATCTCAGTGTTTCTTCAGTTGTTTCCAAATAGCCATAAAAGCCAAAATGCCTTTTTCTTCCCAAAGACTACTAGACAAGTCAGGAAGGAGGTGACAGACAACCCCCTTATCCGGGATGAGACTTAATGGGACAGAGGAATTCTTCCTACATCTTACACCAAGGATAAAGGTAAAGGTTCCCCTTGACATTTAGTCCAGTCGTGTCCAAATCTAGAGCACAGTGCTCATGCCCGTTTCCAAGCCATAGAGCCAGCGTTTTGTCCGAAGCCAGTTTCCATGGTCACGTGGCCTGCACAACTAGACACGGAACGCCGTTACTTTCCCACCGAGGTGGTACCTATTTATCTACTTATATTTGCATGTTTTCGAATTGCTAGGTTGGCAGGAGCTGGGACAAGCAACAGGAGCTCACTCCATCGTGTGGATTCAATCTTACGATGGCGGGTCTTCTGACCCTGCAGCATAGAGGCTTCTGCAGTTGAACCCACAACACCACCACATCCCTTCCAAGGATAAGAACCTTCAAAATGTTTTCAAAGACAACTCCCACAATCACTTACCATGGATGATGCTAAATAGAGTCTTTTGGAGGCATCTGAAGTCCTCCTCCCATGCATCGTTGGGCACTTTTTCCAGATTTAAACACACATACGGGGGGGGGGGGGGGGCATTACCTCATGTAATAGGTGTCAGATTGTCCAGGTCTCGTTCCATTTTTTCGCAAGACTTCGCGGCGCTGCCAGCCAGGCCCTAGTGAAGGGCAATCCACCCAGCCCTCGGTCATGTTGCCAAGCCAAGGAAGGAGAGACTATGAGATGAACACTGTGGGAGGAAAGTGTGAAACAGAGAGGTTGTATGTAGCTATGGTACCAAACAAAATATCCTCAATACCAGAGGTCCCCCAATCCCCGGTCCATGGACCGGTGCCAGTCCGTGGCCTCAGCCAAACCAGGTCGCGAACACAGACCTCCCACCCCCCGCATGCACTCACCCCCGCACAGCTTGTTTATTTATTATTTACAGTATTTATTTATTTGGTTTATATCCCACCCATCTGGTCTAAAAGACCACTCTAGGTGGCTTCCAATATAGTAAAAACAGTGAAATAATACAAAAAATACAAAATTTTACATAAATCATACTGTAATAAACACAATACGATAGAATAGAATATACATAAGGAGAGAATAAACAGAAAAGTCAGATATTAACTGGAGGGAAGGCCTGAATGTATAGCCATGTTTTTAATTGACTTTTAAAAGTGCCCAAAATGGGGGCGGCGCGGATCTCAGGAGGGAGATAGTTCCAGAGGCGAGGAGCCACCGCCGAGAAGGCCCGGTTTCGTATATTTCCCTTCCTGGCCTCTCTCGGTGTCAGGCTCCTCAGCCTCACCTCCTGGCTCACACAGGTGATTTTAAAAATGCTACGAATTGGTCCGGTGAAAAACAAAGAGGAGGCCTACCCGGACCAATTCCAGATAGGTCACACACTATACGGAATATTTCGCCTAATTTGAAGCTTCGCTTATCCAGTTAGCGAACAGGTCACGCACTATACGGAATATTTCCGCCTGATTTGAAGCTTCGCTTATCCAGTTAGCGAAGTATGATCGACAAGCAGCCTTTACCTTGTTTGCACCCTCACGCGCGCTCCAGCGTGCCCATGCGAGCGCCATGCCACCGTTTGTGCATGTGCACGAGCGAGCGCACGCACAAGTGCTGTGCCATTGTTTTAGCATGTGCACCAGCGTGCTCGTTCGCACATGCGCACAAGAACAGGGGCTGCCCCGTCTTCCCCAGCTACCACCTGAAATGGCCAAACATATCACAGAGCTGGAATGCAGACAACGGAGAGCAAGAAAGGGGGTGGGGGTGGGGAATCAGACCAACTGCCATTAACATGATGAACAGACAAAATGGCAACATAGATATAAAATTTCGCATCCTGAGAACATTGTGTAGATTTCCCTTGAGAGCAGGAAATTTCTAGTCCTTATGCCTACTTGTTCCAAAGATATGAAGTCACTAGGCCTCAAAGACCAGTGGCGCCTTAGAGGCCTGAAGAAGGTAAGAGCAGAGACCAAAGAGATTTATTGCCTCCCACAAGTCCTTAATCATCTACCATGACTACAACTCTTCTCCCTTCAACAACGCTGGGGTTAGGGCCACTAGACCCCCTATGTAGCTCAAAATCCATGTGTAATTCTTAAGTCCCCCTAAACGAAACTGGAAAACATAAAAAGTTGACTCACACATACACACCTCCCCAACCTGTGTCAGCCTCCCATCATGCCCCAACACACTTCCTGACCACCACATAGAGCCACCATGCCAGAAAAGGGGGCCACCTGGACTGTCACCATCAGACCGGGGGCCACTGCACCAACAATAATAGGGGCCTCAGTAAGTCTGAGACCCACCTTTCTCAAGCCACTTCCTGGAGATGAATGGTTGCACAGTATTTATTGAATATTTATTTATGTGACAATATGGGAGTTAGTGGAGGGGCACCCTTCTGCCAATTGGGGGGAGGGAATCTGGTGGGCATCAAAGTATGTCAAAGGCACACTGCTGTAGAGTTCCCACTCTACCCATTTTCACATTGCTTCAGGTAGAACTGCCTCCATCCCTCTCTTTTCGAATAAATCTTATTTGTTTATTTATTTATTTGCATATTTATTTATTCAATTTATATCCCGCCCATCTGGTATATTCTACCACTCTGTAACCTTGTAAAAATTCCTTCACACTTTTGCCATGCTCTAGGGCAATTGCCAAGTAGATGTGATCGAGTTGGTCTGGCTGGTGAATTTGGTTTTAAACCAAGGCTCTCTGCCAAAAAAAAAAATTTCAGACAAAACATCTATTTTAAAAGGAAACTTTATTAAATCAAAAAGAGAGTAAGGATAGTTAAGCTAATGAACTGCAATCAAACTTTAAAAAGGATAAAACATGGAACAGGCAGTCGGTCATATGCAACAGGATAATATGCTAATTTTCTAACTGTTCTAACTGCCATGGTCTCCCATGATGGCTTCCACAATACTCACGAACACTCACTGTTTTGCCCTGGACCTCTTTTTCCATCGTCAGGAGCCGATTTCATTTGCTCCCTTCTCTCTTGAGCATCCCGGCCTCTGTAACTGACAGACTCCCCTTCCTCCCGATGCCTCCCTCCATTTAAAGACCGTTTTTTAAACCTCTGGAATCCTGGGTTGTCTTTGAGAACTCTAGAACAGGCATCTTTCAAAGGAAACTCTTCGAAGTCGGTTAGGTGTGAAATACTGGAAATTCACTTTGACCTTAGGGAATTACTTTGACCGAAAGGAGGTGTGAAACAGGATGTGTCTTGTGTGAGCCAGGAGGTCCATTCCCACAAAGGAATCAGAGAGTGAAGGGGGCCTATGGGCTGGCAGCTCTCTCAAAAAACACTACAGAGGATGCCCTCAAGGGGGCATAGGGGGAAGAACTGGGATACAAGAGCTAAAAGAACAGTTAGAAAAGGCGGGAAAGATGGAGGAGGAGGGGGAAAAAAGACAAGGGAAAAGGTAGAAGCAGGAGAAGGAGAGGAGATAAAGTAGGAAGGGACATTACTGAACGGTCTCCTCATTGCAGAAACCTAGGTATAACAGTTAGCCTAACCACTGCCATTTTGCTCCTGACCCATTTAGCTTAACTATTGCTATCTTGCATTCTGTACAACTGCTTGTGTCAGGAAATTATACATACAGTGGTGCCTCGCTTGACTACGTTAATTCGTTGCAGTGAAATCGCTGTAGAGCAAAAACGTCGTAAAGCGAAATAGCCCACTGAAATGCATTGAAAACCGTTCAATGCATTCCAATTGGCTGAATACCTCAGCGTCCAGCAAAGATCCTCCATAGGGCGGCCATTTTCGGGTGCCTGTCTTGCGAAAAATGCCTCCTAAAAACAGCGGGGAGCCATTTTGAGCAGCTGGCAGCCATTTTGAAAACCCGACGATCAGCTGTTTTGATCGTTGTAATGACAAGTTTGTGAATTTGAGTGAACCATTTTGTAGTTAGAAACATGTTGCAGTCTTTTGCCTGAAGCACTGTGAATGTTATCTGTGTGATAATGTAGGAATGTCTATGTGAGTGCCAAGTGGGATGGGCCAGGAGCACCAAGAGAGAAATGAGGACACGAAATACATTGCCTATAGAGAATACATATAAATACAGATACAAAAAATGCATATAGAATAGCATTATAGTAAGGAAATAGTGAAATCATATTTCAGCTACAGGTACAGGGCATGATTACCAGTGTAAGTACAAGTGAATCAAATAGCATGTGTTATCTTAAATTGTAAAGCCAGTACTTCGTATATGTTATATCAGAACCCCCTATCTATCAGTAATGCGAAGAATTGGTTCCCGAAGCAGGGAACCGATCGCCGCAAAGCAAAAAAAAAACACATTAAAACTGTTTTGCTATCGCAATTGCGATCACAAAAACATCGTGGTGAAGCGGATTCTTTGTTACATGGGGTAATCATTAAGCAGGGCACGACTTTATTGCAAAACATTTACAGGAAGAAGGATGTGGGCAATAAAGAGACAGATGTTCCAATCACAAGAGGAGATAAGAGAAGATATACGACCATCACCTGTGCTACCCACTGCCTGCGTGCTGTTGGTGTGCTGCCCTGTTGCTCTGCTCAGCTGAATAAAGAAACAGTTAAAGGATCTCCTCTTTGTCTTATTGATTGGCATACCCTGAGAAAGACAAAGGAAAGAGGGCTCAGCTGGTGGGACCCAACATTTCTGCCAGGGTTCACCTACGAAACACCTCAGACACCCACTGAACAGATCTACAAACACCAGGAGGTTGCATTTTGCTCCTTGTTTCAGCATCTCAGTGAAATCTCCTTGTTACTGCGGATATTGTGCACTACAAATGGGTCCAGTGGGCACGCTCTGTCCCCTTTTGGATTATTTCTAAGGCAGATGGGACATGTGAGCCTGACATTTTTGCACGTCTATCTCATGCCATTGTTTACATACCACTGTGAGACCCGAGGCGAGGGAGTTGAAGCCCTCGCCAGAGTGTCGTCCTCCCTTAAGAAAGAACAGGAGGTGCAAACAGACTCGCTTACATCACCCGTCACGACGGTACAATGGGGAGTGGACACCAGGGAACTAGAACTAGGGATGGCTAAAGTAAGCATAGCCACTCAGACTGGAGAGGAAACAGCGGGGAAAGAAGAAAGGGGCAGAGCCACCATGGAGGCACGAACTGGGGATGTAAAAGGGACAAGGGACGATATACCCGGGAGTTGGAAGTTAATATGGGTGGAAGATCCCTGGACCGGGAAGTGCGAGTTCCCAGGGAGGAGGTTCCCAGGTCCGGGTTCCCAGGGAGGAGGCAGACTATAGAAGAAGTCTGCCCCCTCGACCCTCATATTGGGGGGAATCAGAGGCGTGTGAATGGCACTGGAGATTGAGAGAGGAGAAGGAAGCGGTGGAGAGAGAAGAAAGAGAGAAGAGTATGGAGGCTGGAGGAAGCCTGGCGGAGAGGGTTCTGGCCGGACCGTGGGCTCCCTTACAAAGAGATGAGGACCCCCTTCGACCCCGAGGGGAGAGATGAGGAGACCATACCACTAATAGACCCAGGAATGGACTCTTTGGAATTGGATGACAATAATCCCTTTACCAAGGGTCCCTGGAATGACTCTGAGTTTAATCCATTTAACAAGGACGTTTGGATGCCCTCGTGGGCCCCGCTGGTCACGAGAGACAATGGAGTAGAGTTAGAAACCAAAAACCTGTTGTTCAATGTTCCAATAAAACCCAGTTTTGACTT